CCCACTGGGGTGCCTGGCCAGCCTGGGTGAGGAGCTGATGGCTGTTTTCAGGCTGGTCAAGCCCCACAGTGGGGACCCTCACCCCATGGGGGTGTGGCCAGCCTGGGTGAGGGCTGATGGCCGTTTTCAGGCTGGCCACGCCTCCCGGCGACCCAAGCTCCCAGCCTCTCCTTCCCCCACCCCCTGGGATTTATTTATCTTCTATAATTGAAACTTTGTATCCTTGAACGGATCCCAGGTCCTCCTTGAGCGGAGGCCACAGCAATCTGGAAGCAGGTATCTGGGATTTATTTATCTTCTATAATTGAAACTTTGTAGCCTTGAGTGAGCTGAAGGCTGGCCAGGGCTGCCGGGAAGCTTGGCTTCCTCCATCACCGGGGGCAACCCTAACCTCCTGCTCGTTCCAGCTCTGTGGCCACTGCCATCTTAGTTGGGTTAATTTGATTACTCGCTCCTGATTGGCTTGAGCATAGCAGAGGGACGGTTAATTTGCATGTTTCTCTTTTATTATATACGATTACTATAATATAGAATATTTGTGGAAAACGAACATTTTGTGATGAAAGATTTCCTGAAGATATAACATTGTCATCCCAACTATACTTAGTATAGACAGTGATTTTGACTCCCTGTAACAGAACTCCCCCCCCCCCCCCTGCCAATTTCTTTTCCCAAATAAATTCATATGTAGAGCCTCAAACCATAAAGCAACCATTATCAATCTGAGGCAGTTACACTAGGACTAATTTGAAAAGCACTGGTGTACCACAGTAATGTACTCTCATACTTTTGAAATACATAATGAAGTTTAATATGTTTCTGGTAAACTACACAGAAAATACACTTATCTGTTTTTGAAGTGATTATGAGTAAAATTTAGTTAGAATCAGCCCTTAGGATACTCTTGCATCAATCCAAACACACATTTGAAGATAATACATAGAAGATAATATAATTTTTGGAATATAAAGTGTAGTGATAGCTTCCTTTGATTTTTGGCAGTGGTCCAGAAATATTCCTGCTATTTATCTGAACTTGAAAAGGCAACAAATAGGAACAAAAGATCCAGTACAGAATAAAGGAAAGATAACTGTGTTTGAAGTCTATGAAAATCTAGTACTTGAACTTACTAGCTTTAACTAGTCAAGCCATAAAGTTTTGTGTTTTTTTTAAATTTCCACACCTATAAAATAAGGATCCCACCATTACTTAACTTATTTGTGGATCAAATGGAAAAAAAAAGTGAAATAATAATTATAAACTACAAACATCATGCAAAAGCTATTAGCAAGGTAGAATTACCAGTCTATTTTAACTCCTATACTATCACACCTATACTTAATAAGGTTAGTTTGCATAAGGCAGATAATTTTAATTTAATATCTGCTTAAGATATTAAACACGCTTTTGTAAACAACCTGAAAAATCAAAAAGTTTATGCAATCTATACAATTATAAACCCAGAAGTGTAGTTATATATATTTATAATTTTTTTCAACCTTTCACTCTGTCACTGGAACAGAATCATACATTCACACTCTTGAATGCAGGATCATGCAGTGTCTTACTAGGGAGCCAGAGCTCTCTGGCCAATGGGATGAATACGGAGAAGTGACAGTATACCAATCTAAACTGAGGAATAAAAATGCATGGTGAGTTCTCACAGTTCTCCTGAGCTTCCACCATCCAACATGTGAAGAACTTGCTTCATATAATCATTACTCCTTCAGTCTGTGACCTGGAGTCATGAGGTGATGTGATTCCCATCCACAGCCTGGAGTTCAGTGAATCTGATCACGCATAAGCATGAAACAGATTTTGGAGCTGTTTGTTATACAACATTAGTGTAGCAAAAACTTGACTCATATGCTAAGCAGAAGATAATTTTGATAGATCAATGAAATCTAAACTGCTTTTTTATTATAACTGCATGAATAGCGAATATGAAAGCAATCTAGCGTTGTGATTTTTGAAAAATAGGTTGTAGGCTAGGGAAGGGGTATATCTGAAAAATCATTGTAAGGTTTCATGAAGTTTCAGTGATAAATGTGATAATTCAAAGGATAACTTTGGATTAATTAAAACCATTACCAGTTGTAAAATAAAATTGGGCATGCTGAGATTATCCTCATTTATTTCAGAAGTTCTTCAAGAAAATGTTAATTAAAATAAATGTCTACAGCCAAAACCGGTTTGGCTCAGTGGATAGAGCGTCGGCCTGCGGACTGAAAGGTCCCAGGTTCGATTCCGGTCAAGGGCATGTA